ACACACACACTCTAGGCTAATACAGTATTGTGCACTTTTTCATATTGCACAAAGAATATAACATTTTGTGTAAGCAAGCGATAAATCTAAAAAGCAAACTTAAGCACATTCACTACCTAGCTATATGTCACTTCCTGTGGAAAAAACAACAACAAAAAATAAAATAAAAACCTGTAAAACAACAACAAACTTCAGAAACATTTTCACCAACCTGTCCTCAAACAGATAACCTCCTTAAGATCACATTTCCAGTCAGTCATGTCCTCAGGTGAGGCCTCAGAGTGGGAATTTGTGGTAAAACAAAGGAGAAATTGTTTTGGATGTTTTTTTAGTTTGCAAGAAAATAATTAAGTTGTCAGACAGCAATCTGAGTAGAAAATGTTTAACAAAACAAATAATGTTGAGTTGAAAAGTCCATCAGTTTAGGTGGGATACTTGTTTTCCCTAAATGTCACTTTGAAGGAGGACAAATGGTTGCGCTGTCATGGCACTTCATGTGAAACTAAAAGGAATTACCTTTAAAAAAATTACGCTTTAAATTTGCATGCATTTTATTTAGATATCTTCAAGTCAGATTTTATTCTATTTTAATTAATTCTATTTACAAAAATAGTAAATTAAGTGTTTGAATTATTTGTTAAGCCTCACCTGTTAATTGATTGGTTCTATTTGTTGGTAAAGAACATTGTCTTCATGTGCCACACAATATGAAAACACACCAAAGTGAACTTTGTAAAATTGTTTTTAAAATGTGTTTTTTATTTAAACCAGCTTTTATTATCCAATGTGTGATTTCCGTATTTAAAGGTAAAATAATCATGACTTTGCTGAAGAGTATGAACATTGATTTAGACCGCATAGAACTGAATTGGAATGGAATGGAACGCTTTTTATTTAATTAATTTAAAATTGATGGTATCAAACTGGATAGTTGAATCTAACAATTTTGAATGGAATGAGTTAATTCCTGGTAAAAAGTGTAAAATACTTTACATGATTATGTTGGGAAAATTTCTTGTTCACTAACATTGTTTACTCAGAAGAACAACAACTCAAAGCAAGTGAAGACTTTTAACTGGCTTTCACTTGCAAGGGAATTCGAGACAACAGTATATCCATACATGCATATTGTCACAGAATTGGCCTTGAACTTCTGCTGACTTTCATGACATTAACAGTTCAGTGGAGTGCAGTAGGCATTCCTTGGTCCCAAAGCCAGCTGCGGTTCCAACTAACAAAAGCCCGCTATCATGTTCTATTGTGTGGTTGAAGCCAGGTTGCAGACAGGACTTGGGAACTCAATAATAAAATAAAGAATATTTATTAAAATTAATTAACCATGCTCCAGTTTAATACCAATCAATTTTAAATTAATTAAATGAAAAGCTTTCCATTTCATTCCAATTCAATTCTATGCAATGTTAATACTTTTCAGCAAAGTCCTGATTATTTTACCTTTAAATACGGAAGTCACACATTGAATAATAAAAGCTGGTTAAAATAAAAAAAACAATTTTACAAAGTTCACTTTGGTGCATCTTCATATTTTTTGGCACATAAAAAGACAACGTTCTTTAACAAAAAATAAAATAAATCAATTAACAGATTATCAAGTCTTAGTGAGGTTTAAAAATAATTCAAACACTTAATTCAATATTTTTGGAAATAGAATTCATTGAAACAGAATACAATCTGACTTTAAGACATCTAAATACAAAAACATGCATAAAGCGTAATTTTTAAAAGCTAATTCCTTTTAGTTTCATGTGAAGTGCCACTACCTTTCAGGTTTGGATGACAGCGCAACAATTTGTCCTCCTTCAAAGTGACATTTAGTGAAAACAAGTGTCCCACCTAAACTGATGGACTTTTCAACTCAACATTATTTGTTTTGTTAAACATTTTCTACTCGGATTGCTGTCTGACAACTTAATTATTTTCTTGCAAACTAAAAAAACATCCAAAACAATTTATCCTTTGTTTTGCCACAAATTCCCACTCTGAGGCCTCACCTGAGGACATGGCTGACTGGAAATGTGATCTTAAGGAGGTTATCTGATTGAGGACAGGTTGGTGAAAATGTTTCTGAAGTTTGTTTGTTGTTGTTGTTGTTTTGCATTTTTTTCTTTCCACAGTAAGTGACATAAAACTAGGTGGTGAATGTGCTTAAATTTTGATTTTGAGAATTGTCATTTGTTTGCACTAAATGTTATATTCTTTGTGCAATATGAAAAACTGAACAATACTGTATTAGCATTGAGTTTTGTGTGTGTGTGTGTGTGTGTGTGTGTGTGTGTATGTGTGTGTGTGTGTGTGTGTGTGTGTGTGTGTGTGTCTGTGTGCATCTTCAGTGTGACAACTGAATGAAGTTTGGATCAAGATCAACAGTTAATGCCAATGTTTTCAGACAAAATGTTACATAATGTGTGGATCTCTGAGGATGACGCTCAGCTACTACCACACCAAATTTTAGCTCAATGTCTTTAAAACTGACTGCATTATATGGAGACTCCCATAATGGTCAACTATGCTGTATGACACCAGTACTGGGTGAGATATATTGTATCTAAGATGGGAATTTTTTTTAACCTACAATTCCCAAACTGCTGCTAATTGCAAACCAACTTATTGTTTCTGATTCAGTGAAGGCATATTTTTTATGTTGGTGTCTGTTCATCCCTTCAGTTATGAAAACTGATGACAGTGATTGTGCTGGTGAGAAAAGGGGCTGGAAAAATGAGTTGTTCCTGTGAATACAAACTCTGTAATGCTGGTGTTTGTTTGCTGATGAGGTGGATCCAAGTGTCATGGCAGTTTAAAATATTTTGTTTTTCTCTCTTTTAATATTTCCCTTTTTTTTTCTGAATTTGTTTGAAAAATCTTCTTCACAAATTGCTATGCCAAGCTGGAGCAAGGTGTCGGACATGAGTGAAACCACACAATTAATTTTCCTCCTTAATTTTTTCCTTGATCCATCTGTAAACTTTAAAAGAGCTCCTTGCTCACATAACCTCCCAAATTTTTCACACCTTTCAAATTCCAAATGAGTTGAAAATGAGGTGCCATGGATGCCTTTTCATTTACCAGGTGATGGTGCTCGAGTGCTGTCAAGATCCTGGATTTGGTGAAAGGTGTGGCTTGTGATAGCAGGAGGACGGGATCGACACCTGCAGCTGGCTGTCCATGGTGACGAGGAGCTCGGCAGGATGCTGGGAGGAGTGGTCATTGCTTGCGAAATAGTCCTGCCCAGCAATCAGGCCCACCAGGTTCAGGTGGATGGATCGGCATCAGCATCTTCAGCCAGTTACTTCAGATCCACTGGGGGGTAGCCTTCCTGTCCACAGCCATCAGCATCAATAACAACTCCTTAATCCAATCAAATTTAATTTCCCTTAGGGATTAAGAAAGCATTTTTGAATTTGAATTGAATGCAAAACAATTTAGTGAATCAAGAAACACCAAAAAAAAACTAGTTGCACCAAAAAAAAAGTTGTTGCAACCTGGCTCAGAGCCTGAATGTTTGCACAGAAAAAGAGTAAGCAACTCTTCATTTGTTCCTGTTATTAGTTTTCTACATTCACCTTAGAATCTAGCTGTTTTTTTGATACTTTTATTTTTTTAGCCATCCTATTTGTTAAAAAAAAATTAAAAAATCTTTATGACTTTTTATAACTGTTTATTGTTGTCGCTGTTGTGCATTGTTGTCATCATTCTTTGTTGAAATCAGGTCTCTCCTGTAAATGAGTCCTCGAGGCTCAATGGGATTTACTTGTCTAAATAAAGGTTGAATGAATGAATTTGGTCATGGATACATCAAGTTACACAGGTTTCTTATTAAAAAAAGTTTTAAAATATCTTATATGAAAAAGTGAACAAACAAATGCACTGCATTCAACATTTTTCATTCACAAGCACCTTAAAACAATTTTTGGTTTAAGGAAAGAAGCTGAAAAGAGTCCTGCATGACTGCATGCATCCATAATGTATTCATTTCAGTGTTCTTGTTTTATAATAAAATTTAAGTTTTACATTAATCTTCAATCTGAACTTTGTCTACAAAAAATAATTTCCACAGTTGTCCTTGTTGAAGAAAAATAATCTCGCTTTATTTTACTCAAAATTAGATACATTTGACATCTGGAGAAGATTTTTAACGGGTATTTACTTGCAAGGTCAGATTTTTAGGACGTGTTACACAGACAAACAGGAAGTAAACGCACGAAGACCAATCGCAAGAATCTACGAGAGAAAAGAGCATGCTCTGTTCACAAAAGGAGAGCTGTTGGTCAGATTACTTCTTGTTGTGCCATGCACGCTAAAATACTTATTGAATCAAGTGTTTACATATGTAGGTAAACATAGATGTTTAAAAACATGTTAAAATACACAAGAATGCAGGAAATGGCATCTACTTTATTCAAATATTTCTGACCCCCAAACCAGTGTGCTCCCCCATTACAAATGCTTCTGACACCAATGGCTACTGTGTTGTTCAAGCCAAGCGCCATCATCAGCACTGGGGCTAAGCACCCCATAAAGGTCAGATTCTAGAATCATCCCTGCCTTAAAGTAATACGAGTTTTGCTGGTCAAGAATCACCTCACTCTGGGAGGTGTGGGTGTAAAACTCAGTTTGAATCATCTGTGGTTTGAAGTAAATCAGATCAAGTCCAGTTTTGACAAAATATTAAACTCTAAGTTGTTAAGAAAGCCCATTTTTTTTCCATTTTGCAAAACGTATTGCCTGCATATAGCTGCTTTTCTGATCTAGTTTTAAAATTTAGCTGAAAACGTAAACAAAAACTGGAAAACTACAACAATAATCTGCATTCAGTGAAGGAAAAAAATGCAACACATACGTAATTAGTTGTCAAACATGATTTGAACTTTAACCTTTTGTTACAAAATGAACTTAAAAATGGATCAGAAAAAGGCAGTGGACATTTGGGTGTGTCTGTTGCTACTATATATCTTTTGAAAAGGAGCTCTGCAGACACAAGACTCAGCATCATCTCTGTTGCTCAGACTGGTTTATTCACCAGGATATTTATCCAAACAGGGATTCAGGAGATCATTTCTGACTGTGATAAATCAACATGAGGACACACTGTTCAATGATAGCTGTCCTGCTGATAGCATCTTGTCTGTTTGAGACCTCTTACTCTGTTCCACAAAAACCTGGTAAGTTTTTTTTTCTTTTCTGTTAATCTCTAATCAGTTTTTTTTTCTTGTTTGTTTGTTTTACTGGTCTTGAAACTAGACACCCTCATTAACATTAAGCCACCACTTATCTAAAACCAGGGACCTGTCCAAGCCCTCCAATTCAGAATCCAATGACGCTATACTGCAACATTGACCAGGATTGCCCGGAAGATGAAAAATGCTGCATGCGTCGCTGCACCCATCCTGTTGCACGTAAGTCATGTTCCTACGAAAAGTTACAAAATGTAGAAATAAACAGCCAGGTTAAGTCAAGAACGTCCTACTCGTTTAGCTGAATTATGTGCTAATAATTGTTAGCTAATCAATTTGACTACTGTACAAGATATGTTTCACTCACTGTTGTCAAGAATATGAGTGAAACCCTTTAAAGGGTTACAAGATGAATCTGATGTGTCAAAAAATGGTTTAACATGTCAACAAATCAAAAATCAAAAACTTGGTTTTACCATAATTTTACTTTTGGTGCGGGTTAGATTTTTAACCACAGAGGTTCATCTCAGTGACAGATGGGTTTTCATCTACTGTTTGGATTCATATCAATGTGCTGGTATAACATTGTAGTAGCAGAAGTTCATGAGATATTTCACTGACAGCCAGAGCCAAAGGCAACAATTAAGCCCTAAATTTGTATTAAAAAAAATATTAAAAAAATACTGTTTAAAGAATATATTAAGGATTGTGCTCAGCTATTACTAAACCAAAATTCACTTCAGAATTTGCAATACTGATTGAATTTGAGTTATTGTGTTTGATAAAGTTGCTTAGCTGTGGCGGTTAACTTGATTTATGTTATCATCCAAACTATCAACTGTTTGTGTACAGTGTTTCAAAACCATCCATCCATTATCTTTACCCGCTTATTCCATTTTGCGTCACGGGGGTCGCCGGTGCCCATGTCTAGCAATCACTGTGCGAGGGGCGGGGTACATCCTGGACGGGTCGCAAGTCCATCACAGGGCCACATAGAGACAAACGAGACAAACAACCATTCACTCTCTCACTCACACCTAGGGACAATTTAGAGTTACCAATCAGCCTAACATGCATGTTTTTGGTCTGTGGGAGGAAACCAGAGCACCCGGAGAAAACCCACGCATGCACGGAGAGAACATGCAAACTCCACCCAGAAGGCCCCTGGACCGGGGTTTGAACCAGGGACCTGCTCGCTGAGAGGCATCAGCTCTACCAGTTGCGCCACCGTGCTGCGTGTTTCAAAACATTTCATTAAAAGCCACAGTAGCTTATGAGGCATTTTGCTAAAGCAAGAGGCAAAAATCATTATTGCAATTTATGCCTTTAGCAATGGGTGATAAAAACAGACAATTCTCAAGACTCACTTTTGTCAGACTTTTTGTTTTTAAAAGCTTTTGCCTGAATTTTTTCTATTTCTTTTAGTAACTCCCAGGTGTTGGATAAATGCCCAAAAACTTTGAATTATTTGCACCATTAAAACCATGTCAACATGACAAAAACAGTCCTGGGGCTGACAAATGTATGTTTGACTATGGATTTGCCTGTGCTCTTCCTGTCCCATGTAAAATAATTAATATTTACCAAAGTAGCAATTAAATATTATGTTAAATATTTTTAGGCAATTACATTTTTGTAAAAAAATTGGATCATGCAGGTTTTAAATTAAAACGTTTTTTCAAAACTGTCATTATTTATTCTTTTCTATCAGCAATAAAGAGATGTCCAGCCACAGGACTAATGATGCCATGTATAGAACAATGCTCTACAGACAGTCAATGCAAAAAAGGTCAAATATGCTGCTATAATGGGTGTGGACATCAGTGCATGACAATACCAGGTGAAATATTAATAAGATGGTAAAGTTCCATTTCATATTCTCAGACTATTGTACCTATGAGAAAATTGATTATTTTTGTTATATCTGTTTCAGTGCCACCATGATTTTGAGGTAGACGATGGTTCTTCCCTCACTGTCATGAACACTGATGGACTGCAGCAGCAAGAAGTGTTGTCTGAAGACATGGCCAAACCTGACGACACCACTTTTTTTTTTCTTCAATACAGACATATTGATTAAAATATAAATACATTGCTTATGTGTGAGTGTTTGCTTCGGTACATTTTTTTTCCAATGCCTATTTGTTCAAGTTTTTAAAGGTGTTTTGTCATATTTGCATTTTACTGACAAAAAAGTTTGAATATCATCACAGTAACAAATCATTCACTGATGTACAAAGACGTACTATGAGTTTTGGCTATATTTTTTGCATCTTTCTGCTATTCCCTTCTGCAGGTGGTTGCCACATCACACAAGCACGGATTTGGGATTATTTTCATTTAATTTTTTTTACATCAATTGCCCTTCATAACGCAACATGGGCTCAACCTTGCAGCCCCAGAAAAACAAGGGTGTGGCACATAAGCATAATCACAGCCCCTGGTTATCATATAACATATGCACAGAAAATGTAGATGCAATTTATATTTTTGTTGTGGTAATTTAAGTGTAATTTAATGAAGTCTCTGGACCACATTGAAATACTCATGAACTATCTAGAACGACCATTCATCTATGATGTAGTCATCAAGAACAAGACAATGAATGCAAATACAACTTGTTACTTTTACACTCAGCATGCACTGACAAATGACCATGACCACCACCAGCAGTGTGGATGAACAGCACTCTTACATTGCTAAATCACAGCAGTTGTCATCAATAAATGTCACTGAAATGAGCAGGAGTCTATGAATCCCTTTCAGTTGGGCTATTTCAGCTGTAGTTTACACAAAGCTGATCAAAGACTATAGGTGATCTATGGATGAAGGGAAAATAGAACTTCATTCTAGCTAGAGTATCTGTCGTGCCAGTCTCTAGACTGGATAAATGAGGAGGGTTGAGAGTAAAAAGGCTGGTATGCTCACCTCTTTGCTTGTACACACAAAACATCTACCTTCCTTCTCTGCTTCATGTCAACCAGCACACTACAGTTGCCTGCCATTGTGCCTATGTATAAAGTTGCTACCAGCTACATGCATGAGGTGGAACACCTGGAGAGCTGGTGCAGGAAGAGCAACCTTCACATCAATGTGAAGGTTGCTCTTCCTGCAGCCTCCCCACCACCACAGACATCTACACCTCCAGACGCAGGAAGAGAGCCACCTTCATCATGAAGGACCCCACTCATCCAGCACACACACTTTTTGCCCCACTCCCCTCAGGAAGGAGGTTGAGGAGCATTAAGTGTAGAACCAGTAGACTGAGGAACAGCTTCTACCCTGAAGCTGTTACACTCATGAATCCCAAACCAGGATAATCACTGTGCTGCTGATCTGTTTCATGTTGCTGTGTTCATTCGTACTCATCTGCTCACACAGACTCATGTTCGTGCTGCTGTTCCGTGTATTGTTTAAATGCTATTAGTGATTAGCGTATTTTTAGTTAACGTTTTCTTATTTCATATCTTAGATCTTATTACTGTTTATCTTTTACATTTTATTGATGGATGTAACTAGGACCCTGTGTACACAATTTTGTTCCACCACATGTACCACATGTGGTGCGAATGACAAATAAAGAAACTGACTCTGACATGCAGCTCTTCGGTCCCTATGCAGCAGCTTTAGCTTTGACCAAAACTGAAATAAAAGTGAATTTTATTGGTTGTTATAACAACAACTAAAAGGGCTAGTTTTAGCTGTTTTCCTGTAGTTTATTTTGCAAATATATCAATACTAGAAACATTACAAGGAGTAAAACATATGCACTTTCACTTTACGCCTTATTTCTTCAAAGTAGGTTATGTAATTTTTCTACAATTAAAAAAAAAAAAAATCACATATGAATGCATAGTTTGTTTTAATTTTAGAAACTGGGCAAAAAATATATTATTTTTTCCTTCTTTACAAGAATCTCGTCTTTTATTTTGTCTTAGAGTGTAAAAATATCAATAAATGTTAAAAATCATTAGACATTTTTTGTTTTATAAAATCACCCATTAAAGTGCCATCCAACAAACTTAAAGTGGTCCGTGGGCCACCAGTTTAGAATCCCAGTTATAGCAGGTATTGGGGCTCCGGACATGTTTAATTTAGTGAACAAACAGGCAGAAATGGCTCTTTTAATCGTAAAGGTTGTCGACCCCTGATCATTACTAAAGTAATGTACAGTAAGTTCATAATGTAAATAGAATCAAACTCATTTTTTGAGTACTCTTAAATATTCCTAATATTAAAAGGTCCTAATATTTCACCTTGGCACATATCTTTTCATCATTGTACATCATTTCACCATCTCACCATCTCACTGTACCTTAAATGCTTCAGTGTTAACAGTTACTTGCAAGAGGCTTATTTTCATTCACCAGATTAGTACAAAAGCAGGTGTTCAGAACACCATCAGTAACATTTAGTATATAAAAGTGTTAATGTTTGAGAATTATTTTTTCTGTAGGCACATTCAAGTAAATGTAGCAATCACAGAATCTAATACAATAACACAGAGGCTATCAGTAGCATGATAATTACAGAAACAAACAAAGAAACAAACTCACCAGTTCCAGTCAGCTGAAGGTTTTTTTCACAGAGACATTTAAAAGTTGAGAGGCATTTCAGTCAGAAATGGCAAATAGGCATTAGAAAAAGGGCTTTCAATGGCTTAAAGCCAACCTGCAGCCAGGCTGGTTGTGTGTCACTGCATAGATCTGTTCTCAGACCCCCCCCCCCCCCCCCCACACAAAAAAAAAAAAAACAGTACTGGACCAGAAGCAGATCAATCGGTATCATAGCCAAAACTCATAGTACGTCTTTTGTAGATCACTCTGAATGATTTGTTACTGTGATGATATTCAGACTTTTTTGTCAGTAAAATGCAAAAATAACAAAACATTTAAAAAATTGAACAAATAGGCATTGGAAAGAAAAGGTACCGAAGCAAACACACACACATAAGCAAAGTATTTATATTTTAATCAATACGTCTATATTGAAGAAAAAAAGTGTTGCTGTCATGTTTGGCCACATCTTCAGACAACACTTCTTGCTGCTGCTGCAGTCACCATCAGTGTTCATGACAGTGAGGGAAGAACAGTCGCCTACCTCAAAATCATGGCAGCACTGAAACATATGAAACAAAAACAATCCATTTGTTCATAGATATAATAGGAAGAGAGTAAATAAGGACCTTTACCATCTTATTCATATCTCACCTGGTACTAGTGTCATGCACTGATGTCCACACCCATTAAAGCAACATATTTGACCTTTATTGCATTCATTGTCCATATAACATTCCTCAATACATGGCTCCATTATTCCTGTGGCTGGACATCTCTTTGTTGCTGATAAAAAATAATAAACAATGACAGTTTTGAAAGAAGAAAAATTTTATTTAAAAACAGCATGAACACATTTTTTACACATTTAATTCCCTAAAAATATATTTAACACAATATTTAATTGCTACTTTGGTACATATTAATTCTTGTACCAGGAAGATCACAGGCAAATCCATAGTCAAACACAATTTTTCAGCTCCAGGGTCGTTCTTGTCACGGAGACATGATTTTAATGGTGTAAAGAATTCACAGTATTTTGGCATTAACCTAAATTTATCCAAGACTTGGGAACAGAAGAAAATTTAGGTGAGTACAAAAGTGAGTTTTGAGAGAAGTCTGTTTTTATTACCAATCGCTGAAGGCAAAAAGGGCAATAATGATTTTGCCTCTTTCTTTAGCAAAATATCTCATAAACTACTATGGATTTTAATGAAACTTTTTGAAACACTGTACACAAACAGCTGATTAAGTTTGGGTGTTAACTTCAAGTTCACTGCCGCAACTAAGCAACTTTATCAAACACAATAACTCAAATTCAATCAGTATTGCAAATTCTGAAGGGAATTTTGGTTTAGTAATAGCTGAGCACAATCCTTAATATATTCTTTAAACAGTAAATATTGTTTTGATTTTTTTTTATAGAAATTTATGGCTTATTTTTTGCCTATGACTCTGTCTGTTAGTGAAGTATCTCATTAACCTCTGCTATGTATGCTATAGTATAGTATAGTATGTTATACTGCCAACACATCTCTCACTGAGATAAATCTTTGTGGTTAAAAAAAAATGGACCCACACCAACTCCACCAAATCGAAAAGTAAAATTATTGTAAAACCAAATTTATTTTTCATGTTAATCCATTTTTAGACCCATTAGATTCATCGTGAAACCCTTTAAAAAGTGTTTGACTCATACTTTTGACAACGGTGAAACATTTCTTGGATGGTATGCAAATTAATTAGCTAAACCAGCAGGACATCACTGTCTTGATTTCACCTGGCTTTTTGTTTTTTTACATTTTGTAGCAATTTGCAGAAACTTTGTCTTACTTAAAAAAGGAGGGGCGCAGACGGATCCATAGTCAAACTTGCAGCATTTTTCATATCCAGGACAATCCTTGTCGTTGTTACATGACTGTGCTGGCACGAACGTTTCGAAGACTTTTGGACAGATCCCTGTTTTTTTGGAGAGATGGTGGCTTAACATTATTGTGGGTGTCTAGTGTCCAGGTTAGTTAGACAAACAAACACACAAAACAGAAGACACTTTGAACACATGAAATAAAAAAAATAACTCACCAGGTTTTTGACCAACAGAGTAAGAGGGCTCAAACAGACAAGATGCTATGAGCAGGACAACAATAATTGAACAGTGTGTCCTCATGTTGATTTATCACAGTCAGAAATGAGCTCTTGAATCCCTGTTCGGATAAATATCCTGGTGAATATACAGCAGCACAGATGATGCTGGGTCCTTCTGTCTGCCGAGCTCCTTTTCAAAATATATATAGTAGCAACAGACACACCCAAATGTTCCTTCACTGCCTTTTCTGATACATTTTTCAAGTTCATTTTGTAACAAAAAGGTTAAAGTTCAAAGCATTTTGACAACTAATTACGTGTTGCGTTCTTTTCTTCACTGAATGCAGATTATTGTTGCAGTTTTGTTTATGTTCTCAGCTAACTATTAAAGCTTAGATCAGAAAAAGCAGCTATATGCAGGCAATACATTTTACAAAATAGAAAAAAAGAGCTTTCTTAACAACTTTGAGTTTAATATTTTGTCAAAACTGGTCTTGATCTGATTTAATTCAAACCACAGAGAATTCAAACTGAGTTTTACACCCACACCTCCCAGAGAAAGGTCATTCATATCTGACACGCTTTCCACCTCAAATATAGGCCTTGAAAACTCCGCCTTTTGGACCATTCCATTCCTCTTCCTAATCACACCATGATAATCCTTGCTGCCCTCCTCCTTAGTCCCATTGCAAACAAAATATTTACCTTCCTTCTCTGCATCATGTCAGTCAGCTCTACAGTTGCCTGTCATTGTGCCAATGTATAGAAATACTACCGTCGGTCTTACATTCTTGACTTTCCTCTTTTCCTTCTTCGGGTTCCTGGTTTCCCTCAGCATGGTATTTGACCAGCAGTAGCATAGTACAGTAACAATTCACTGTCTCTTTACTGAGCGGTCACACCAAGACTGATTATTATATAGAACATTTTATCACAGTACAGAGCAGTAAAAATTATGAAGCATGGTTATTGTAAATAATACACCTTCCCTTGACACATGACTGATAGCTGGGATGACGTGCTCTTTTAGCTGCACCCATAGATTCCCAAGTAAGTTTGTGACCATCTTCCTGTAAAGTACCAATAAAATAACCCAACTTAAAGGCATTCAGAGACTCCTGCTCATTTCACTGACATCGATGACAACTGCTGTGACCAGGCAATGTACGTGCATTTGTTGTTGTCCTGATGCATGCTCAATAATTTAGGTAGATGAATCAAACAAGGTTGAGTCAGGTCCTCTGGACGGATTCTTCTCTGTCTTTCTTTGTTGTTTTTCTTTGTCCATCAAAGGAGAATCTGTCCAGAGGACCCGACTCAACTTTGCTAGATATGCGTCATTCATCCACACTGCTGGCGGGAGCTCATGGTCATTTTTCAATGTACAGAATGCGATGTGTAAGAACAACAAGTTGTATATGCAGCCATTGTCCTGTTCCTGACGACCACGTTATAGATTGAGTGTTCATTTGCATTTCATTGTGGTCCAGAATGTTCATTTGAATCCACTCACGTTACCACAATAGCAACATAAATTACATCTATATTTCCTGCACATATGCTAAAATCATAACCAGAAGCTGTGGCAGCTCAGTGGTTAAGTGCCAAACACTTGTAATCCTGGGGCTGCATGTTTGAGCTCATGTTGCTTTGTGGAGGGCATTTTGTGTAAAACCATTCCCAAATCTGTGGGTTAATGCATTTTGGCAACCCCTGCAGAAGGAAACAGCCAAAGGATACACAAATTATAGCCAAAAAACTCATAGAATACCTTTGTAGATCATTCTGAATGATTTGTTACTGTGATGAAATTTATACTATTTTATCAATAAAATGCAAAAATGTTAAAATACTGTCCTTTTTTAAAAAAAACATAGGATTGGAATCAAAAGGAAGCAAAAACACACATATAAGCAATGTATTGATAATATCAATATGTCTGTATTGAAGAAAATAAGCATTGCTGGCAGGTTTGTCCTCATCTATTCATACAACACAACTTGCTGCTCTTACAATCACCATCAGCATTCATGACAGTGAGGGAAGAACCATCGCCCATCTCAAAGTCATGGTGGAACTGAAACATAAAACAAAATCAATTTATCTTTTCATAGAATCCTTAAGCAGAAATGTAATGAGGACATTTACCCCCTTTTACATATCTCACCTTATACTGGTGTCATGCATTGCATTCCACACCCATTGAAGCAGCATATTTTACCATTTCTGCATGGTCTGATGTCAGAGCATTCCTCAATACATATCCCAAATCTTCCATGGGGGGGACATCTGCCAGTTACTGAAAGAAAAGATAGAAAAAAAATAGATTTTTTTTTTAAGTAGACCATTAAAAAAAAAACTACCTGAACACATTTTATTTTACACATTTTTCATGATGTAAATAAATTTCACATTATAGTTATTAGCTACTTTGTTAAGACAAACAAACAAACAAAAACAAAAAAAGCAATTCTTACTTGGAACAGGAGGGGCACAAACAGATCCCTAGTCAAACAACATTTCTCAGCTCCAGGGCAGTGTACGTCACATATGTCAAACTCAAGGCCCGGGGGCCAAATGTGGTCCTCATTGACATCTTAAATGGCCCCCAAGATGAAATGTTAAATGTAAATATTTTTTTTCACTTGAATTTTTTTCAGTAATCTTTGAAAATGATGTCAAAAGTGCAACAGAGAATGTCAAATGAGACCAATCAAATTGTATTTTGAGGAACCTGCAACAAAGAAAAGATGTTGGGTATCTAACTTGAGTTAGTTGAGCTTCTGAAACTGGCCCTTAGTTTGAAAAAGGTTTTAATTTTGACCCCCTTTTTGTAAGTGAGTTTGACACCACTAGTTTATGTCATAGCAACATGGTTCTAATGGTGCAAAGGTATCAAAGTAGTTGAAAAGTAGTGTTGGGCATTGACCTGGTTTAATCAAAGTCTTGGTAGTTGCTGAATGAAAAAGGAAATAAATGCTAAAATATTTAAAAACAAAAAGTCTGTCATAATGAGTTTTGAGGAGTCTGTTTTTGTTTTTTTTAACACTCACTGCTTAAAAGAAAATACAACGAGTTATCAGGAACCACTACATATTAAAAAAAATCTGAAATATTAATTGAATGTACATCTAAAACTAAGTTTTGGAGTTAACCTCATTCAAGTTGACTACAACACATAAGCAACTTCATCACAAGCAAAAATGACTCAAACACAGTCAGTTTTTCAAATACTGAAGAGAGATTTGGTGTAGTAATAACTGGGTATGATCGCTAACATATTCTTCTAAAACTAATCATTGTTTTGATATTTTATTTAAAAATGTGGGCATTAATTGTTACTGTTGAGATGTTACTCCTGATTCTTTAAGCCTCAGCTACCACCATGTTATACTACTACCACTCCAACATGAATCCAAACAGTAGATGGAAACACGTCGGTCCCTGAGATGAATTGTTCTGGGTAAAAATCTAATTTCGACCACAAGTCAAATCAACTTTATTTATAGAGCACATTTGAAACACACCCTGTTATCAAAGTGCTTAACAACAACAACAACAACAACAACAACAACAATCAATGGGAGTAAAATTAAAGAGAGAAAAAAAACAAAATACACTAATAATAATTTTAACGGAAGAATTATTAAAAAGCATTTAAAACATAGGATCACAGAACAAAAAAACACTAAATCAATTTACACTGTGAAATGCCTGCGAGAACAGATGTGTTTTTAGCAAACATAGAAGAAAACACAAAATATAGAAGACAAACTAATTTATGTCAAAACAAAATTAGATCTTATAGATTACATTTTAAACCATAGGCAGCACGGTGGCACAACTGGTAGAGCTGCTGCCTCTCAGCGAGCAGGTCCTTGGTTCAAACCCCGGTCCAAGGGCCTTTCTGGGTGGAGTTTGCATGTTCTCTCCGTGCATGCGTGGGTTTTCTCCGGGTACTCCGGTTTCCTCCCACAGACCAAAAACATGCATGTTAGGCTGATTGGTAACTCTAAATTGTCCCTAGGTGTGAGTGAGAACGTGAATGGTTGTTTGTCTCGTTTGTCTCTATGTGTCCCTGTGATGGACTTGCGACTCGTCCAGGGTGTACCCCACCCCTCGCACAGTGATTGCTGGACATGGGCACCATCGACCCCCGTGACCCAAAATGGAACAAGCGGGTAAAGAAAATGGATGGATGGATGGATGGATTTTAAACCATCATATTACCCATCAGATTCTTCTTGTGCCCTTTAAAAAGGTTTTGACTCATAGTTTTGACAACACGCAGTGAAGACAGCTTGACTCATGTCAGACACTTCAACATGTCAGATGATATTAAAGTTAATCTGCTAAACCAGTTGGACATTCAGTGTCTTAAAACTTAAACTGGCTGTTCATTTCTACATTTTGAAACATTTAATAGGAACATGTCTTACTGAAAACAGGAGAGAGGCAGAGAGACCTGCAGCATTTCTCATCTCCAGAACAGTCCTCATCATTGCCACATTCTGGTGCTATTGGCAGGTTATTGGGAGGTCCTCTTGGACAGATCCCTGGTTGTAGAGAAGTGGTAGCTTAATGTTAATGAGGGTATCTAGTTTTTACGTAAGTAAGACAAACAAAAATAACATATTAGAGATTTACACAAAAGAAAAAACAATCTTACCAGGTTTTTCTGAAGCAGAGGGCTCAAACAGACAAGATGCTATCAGCAGGACAGCTGTTATTGAACAGAGTGTCCTCATGTTGATTTATCAGAGTCAGAAATGATCTCCTGAATCCCTGTTTGGATAAATATCTTGGTAAATTAACTGTAGTCTGAGCAGCAGAGATGATGCTGGTCCTTATGTCTGCAGAGCTTCTTTTCAAAATATATATAGTAGCAACAGACACACCCAAATGTGCACAGCCTATTTTGGATACATTTTTAAGATCATTATGTAACAATAGTTTAAAGTTAAAATCCTGTTTGACAGCTAATTGCATAAGTGCTGCATTCTTTTGTTCTTTAAATTGCAAATTTTTTGCACTTTTGTTAACATTCTCAGATATTGACAAATTTATATCAGAATAGCCAGCTATTTTTATGCAATACAACTTACAACATAGAAAATATGACCTTTGTTAACAAGTTAAAGTTTAATATTTTGTCAAAATTGGACTTGATCTGATTTGCTTCAAACTACAGTGATTTCAAACTGAGTTTTACACCCACACCTCCCAGAGAGGTGATTCCTGACCAGTAGAACTTATACATTACTTTAAGGTTAAGTTTTTTCTATTAAATGTATATATTTTATGATCAACTTTTAGATATAAATATAAGATATATTGTCACAACACATCCAAATGTTTGCTGCCAATTTTTGGATACATTTTTTTAATTTAATTTTGTAACTAGAGGTTAAAGTTCAAAGTATGTTTGAAAACTAATTGTGAAAGCATACTGGGTAGTATTCTTTTCTTATTTGAATGTAGATGTTTTTACTTTTGCATTTTCGGGCTATTTTTTATTGCCTGACCATTGTTTTTAAAGTCAAATGAACTGGCTATATGCAGGCAAAATGTTTTATCACATACACAAAAATGAGCTTTAACTTAAAAGTTAAATATTTTGTCAAAACTGGACTTGATCTGATTTGTTTCAAACTACAGAGCATTCAAACTGAGTTTTACACCCACACCTCCCAGAGAGGTGATTCCTGACCAACACCACAAAACACAGATTATGACAGCTGTCATTGTCATCTAAGCCTGACCGTTAGTGGACTTAATTTGAAACTGACAAGAATTACTTTAAAAACATTTTCAAGGATTCAAGGTTCTTTATTTGTCAGTCGCACCACATGTGGTGCATGTAGTGGAATGAAATTGTGTACACAGGGTCCCAGTTACATCCAACAAAAGTATAAAATGTAAAGAAAAACAGTAACAAGTTCTAAGATATGAACTAAGAAAAAGGTTCAGATTTTAGTATAGTTCATTGAATTCTATAAAAGACAAACAGTAAATGAAGTGTCGTTTGAATAAATCTTTAAGCCTCGCTAAGACTTAAGGAAGCACGGTGGCGAAACTGGTAGAGCTGCTGCCTCTCAGCAAGAAGGTTACCTGTTCAATTCCCGGTCCGGAGGCCTTTCTGTGTGGAGTTTGCATGTTCTCCTCGTGCATGCGTGGGTTTTCTCCGGGTACTCCGGTTTCCTCCCAAAGACCAAAAACATGCATGTTAGGCTGATTGGTAACTTTAAATTGTCCCTAGGTGTGAGTGAAAGAGTGAATGTTTGTCTGTCTCTATGTGTCCCTGTGATGGACTTGCGACCCGTCCAGGGTGTACCCCGCCCCTCGCACAGTGATTGCTGGACATGGGCACCGGCGACCCCCGTGACCCAAAATGGAATAAACAGGTAAAGATAATGGATGGATGTTTATTTAATGAGGGGGATTGGGAGTAACAGGTGATGAGTGAGTGTGATTGCAGCCTGGCATATGTCATGACAACGTTTACTGGACTTGAACTAAACTTTAACTTGGACTGTGTCACTACTTCGCAGTTTTCACTTATGTGGACGTGGTCCCTAAAACCTGCGATAAATGAGGGGCTACTGTATATGAATTTTTCTGTTTACTTATTTTATATATGAATGTTTCTGTTCAGTGCCCTGAGACGACGTCTGTTGTGACTTGGCGAAATATAAATTCACTGAATTGAATAGAATATCCAACCTGTGGAGCATATGTAACACTCACAATGTGTTTACAGTGCTAGGATACACAATAGGACCAGTGCTAGGTTCGGCTATGGGGGTAGTAAAATGTGTAGGTGTATTAATGACCACAGACCAGAAAATAAGTTAAAACTGCCGGCTTATTATTTAAAAAACAAAACAAAAACAATAATATTACAACAATTTGACATACACAACACAAAAATCAATAAGTTTCAAAATTCTCAAGATGTTCAGTTTAAATAATTTTTTTGTATAATAAACCTACTGTTAGATATTAAAGGGATACTATTTTTTTCAACCTAGGTTACTAATCTATTTAGTTCCATGGTCTATATTAATCTAATTTTCCACTCACGTTGCCACAATAGCAACTTAAATTTCATCTGCATTTCCTGAACATATGTTAAAATCATAACCAGAAGCTGTGGCAGCTCAGTGGTTAAGTGTCAAACACTGTAATCCTGGGGCTGCAGGTCTGAGCTCATTTTGCTTTGTGGAGGGTATTTGGTGTAAAACAATACCCAAATCTGTGGGTTCATGTGTTTTGGTAACCCCTGCAGAAGGAAACTGTTGAAGGATACAAAAATTATAGCTTAGTGCACCTTTGTAGATCATTCTGAATGATTTGTTACTGTGATGAAATTCAGACTATTTTGTCAATAAAATGCACACATGGCAAAATACCTTACTTTTTTTTAACAAATAGACATTGGAATCAAAAGGAAGCAGAAACACATGAACTTGACCTGATGTCAAAACTTGACCTTAGGATCATATGGGACTGAAACTGTCATTTCATTGATTTGAATCCAGAAATACAGGTTAACCCATCCTGAGACTTTCTTTGTTGAATTAATCAAGTGGAAAAAGACAATTCTCTATGATCATTACTATTTTACAAATGTTTTGATAATCAAAGTGTTTTGGTTCAAACAATGTCTACATGTTGAAGTGAACTAATCATTTTTATTTACTTAAACAGTAGTAATGATTCTTAATCCTCAATTCAAAGTGAAATCAAGTTAGAGTACGTTACAGAGTAATGATTCAATTTCTTGATCGTCTGCTTTGAAGTGAGCAAATTTGTAAGTGTGTCAAAGTTCGAGTTTCGGTCAACTGAAAGTTTACTGAAAAGAAATGTCATGTTTAACTTTTACAGCGAGTTACTTGGTGAGTGGCTCCACGAAGTCTGGTTTTTCCATGATATCTTTCTGTCTGTTCTTAAACAATCTGAATCTTTTCCTTGACTTTTAATAACACCTTACATCACAAACCACATCTCTGCTTTGGTCCATCGACCAATCAAAAGGCTCTCAAATGAACCGGAAGTAGAGCTCTTTAAAATGTGGGCACTTCCTAGTTCAAGCAGAGAGTTTTTGAATTCAGATGCAGAGAGTTTGGGAGTTCCTGAATGCAGAACGCGGGCATTCAGGATGCTGCTGAATTAGAATCAAGCTGAACCAGAGACGATTTTGGGAATTATAACTTCTGTTTGGATAACCTCACACGACTCTCGAGGTTCGAGCTGTTCTCACGGAGACGCTGAAAGAGTTGAAAGGAGAGCTCTACACCAACGCTGAACTATCATCTGCAAGGTAAAAAGTTCTATTCTCAACCAAGCGTACCGTTGGCCCAAGCTGGAAAAGAAGGAGCGTGCTGTTCTGGTTAAAACAGACAAATTCCCTCACACATCTCTCTCAGATAAACTTCATCTTTCCATCTTTAAACTCTCCTATCTGCTAGCAAATTAATCCAGATGTTTTCAGAAATGTCTGTGGTGAAGCAACGGAAAATCATGGCCGTATGGTTTTCCTGGTTGTAAAGCTGATTAATTATGTCGTTAATTTTCAATTCTTGCCAATTAATGTAAATGTGTGATGTGTTAAACTTGATTCTGTTAATAAATGACCCACTCGCTTGGTGAGTCAAAGATAATTAACGTCTCACGTCCACATTTTTATTACATTCAACGCACGTATGTTACACAGTCCAGAAAAATGAAAGAACC